TAACCGTTCTCAGTTAGCAACTTCTTAATAATATTAAGCTCTTCACTGTCGACCAAGAGCCGATCAGTTAACAAATATGGAGGAGAAAATGGAGGTGGATCGAGCATACGTAGAGGAGACCATCGAATGACATCTCGCGCCAGGCCCTCGAGTGGAATCCAAATGGGAAGAGATGAGTGGGTTGTCCCAGTGTGACGTGTAGGATATCGTGTGAGGAGGAGATGAGAGATGGTGGGCAACTGTCGTCCAAGCTGAAGAGGACGGAAGAAGATAGGACAAAGTGGAGATGTGTTGTTGAAGCCCTCCCTATGTTCCACTCGGAACTCAAGGGAATAATCATAATAATCTTCATTGTCGAAAATCATCGAAAAGGATATTCTTTGCTCAACTTTATTTTTTCGATATGTCTGAATGAATATTTCTGCTCTATGTTAACATTGAAGAGCAATGGGTACCCTCAAAGTTTCATCAACAAGTATGGAAGATCTGAAGTCACAAATGTAAAACAAATCACAGTGGGTAAAAAGCCAATCTACTTTCAGCTTGATTATAAAGATGAAAACACTGCAGCAATGATTAACAGAAGGCTGAGCACATCACTAGCCATAGCCTGTCCTGCAGCTAAGCTCGTTCCCGTCTATCGAACAACTTCCTCTCCTTTGATGAAATCAAAAATCGATAAATATCCTTGTCATGTTACCTCCAACTGTATATACAAAATAACATGTATCTGCTGGAGCAGTTACATTGGAAGAACAGAAAGAAGGGCATATCTACAATTTTCTGAACATGTTCCAAAAAGCTTACGTCTAAAGGGAACAAATGCTTTAAACAGTGCCATCCATCACCAATCATCTCCTCGACGCCACCGGTCATGAGGTGGATGTCGAAAAGTTGTTCAAAATCATCAATAGGAAAAAGAGCTCAATTCTTCTCAAGTTTGCTGAAGCCATTTCCATCAAGCGCCTGAAACCTGATTCACGCGTTCAGAAAGAAGCGGTTATCAGTCTTTCTTTGCCCTGATAACTTGATATTTTTCATCAGAATGCGAGATGTTGAAAAGTTTTCATTGTGTATGATTATTATTGTTCGGAGCAGTGTATAATATTACATATATATATGTATGTATTATTAGTGTATGCGTATATTGATCGATTGATTTTTGTTTAGAGATGAACTCTGTGCAAGTATGTTAAAATTTTTTTTGTAGATACATTTAATAATGTCTTTGGCCTGTAAGCAGCTGACGAGAAGGCAACGAAATAAACAATGATGGTACCATTTTATTCTGCTAAAACTGTAGTTCTTGCTTTATTCAAATTCATACAGGAGAATTAGTATGTATGATAGGCCTTAGTCTACAAGAAACAAAGGACCAGACACACACGCAGATGACACCAGTTAACTAATGTCCAAACCAAAGTATAAATCGATTTAATTGAATTTTAGATTTTCTCATCGATTGATTGGACCGAAGTGCTCGGTCTCAGGTTGACATGTTGGCTTCTTGAGCAGATGGTTCGACGATGTCTGGTTATGTAACTTGAAGTCGATTCGTGGATGGTAACTAGCAGTGGAATCCAGTCAGGATGAGCATTTCGTCCTATTTGAGAATCGTACACCAGCTGGATGTACCTGGTGGCTTTGGCGTTTGAAACTATGGGCCTAGGTGGGAACAGCATCACTCACTGAGAAATGCAGGTACATCCAGATGACGAGCCCCAAATAATAGGATGAAATGCGCATCCTGGATTCCACTGCTAGTCACCATCCATCAATTATATAAATCGATTTGTTTGGAGTGTTGGTTTTATTTTTTTTTACTGACTGAAAACTTGGACAAGATAATTTTTTTGTTGTTGTTTGAAGAAATAAAATATGTGAATTAGAAATGAAAACAAAAGAAACACGATCGTTTTCTTTGACGTATTTCTCTGTGTGTTTGTTATTCTATCCGAAAAATAGGGCTAAGTAGATACTATGACGAACAACAGCAACAACAACAACAGAAAGACACAAGATTGTGTGTATTAAATTTCATTTTGCATATGATGGAATGACTCAACGCTAATATAATTTCTGATTACCAAACAAATACAATGGAATACAACGGCTATTTCAGTCAGTGGTGGCTGACAGCAATGGAATCCAGCACGAGCATTTCGTCTTATTTGGGACTCGTCAGCACTGCATGTACTTGCAAACCCCAAGAGAGAGAGAGAGCGATGGTATTTCCACTGATTATCGAACGCAATACCCATGGTTTCCGTCGCCGTCTTTAGACACCATCGAACCACAACCGTACTACGTTTCGGTCGAGTATGAATCAGTCAGAGGAAGGTGCGAAGGTGAGTGTCATCACGAAAACATATCAGGAAGTAGAGGACAGTATGAGCACACAGAAGTTACACTTCGAGTGTCGTGGAATGCATATTCGATGGCTGAGTGATCAACGGTTTCTCCAAATAACTGAAAAAGGTTTTGGATTCAATCTCTGAGATGCGATCACGGCTGCGCACTGTTCCCTGGGTTTTTGATGACTCACAAACTGACACCGACTGGTGAAGAAATATAAAAATTCCCACTTGAAAGTGGGTTCCTACTCAGTTTAGAAAGATGGGTGGGGGAATGACCTCAGATAAATAACCGAAAACTGAAAAAATTTTAAGAGGGAATCAGTAAAGCGTTTTTCATAACGTCAGTTCATACTTGCTTAAGGTAGAAAGAGAAACCAGAATAAAATTAGGCGAAAAAAGACATTTTGACAAGCTACTACTACTACTGTGATGGTGTGATACAGACAATGGGTTCCAAAGGAATATTATTCTCACAGTAAGAATCATTGTATTTGTAAGTGTTAACGTCTGAATACTATTCCCACAGTTCACTACTACATTGGCAACAGAATACGACATATGTATTTGAACATTCTGTTTCATGTCGTTTAATGCAAACTAAAATAACACGCTAAGTGATTGGTTAAAGAATATGAAATGTATAGATATAAATAACTGGGAGTACTGGACAGCTGTTTCGTCCCACTAGTTTGGGACTCTTCATCAGTACGCACTCACAGGCACAGCTAGAACCCAGGACCTTCCAGTTACAAGGTGAGCAAGCTCGTAGACCATTCAGCAGCCATTGGGACCATCCAATCCAATGACCAGCCCATGAATTCTAACTTCTGCTGATTCACCACAAATAGCGCAACAACTTCGCAATGTCTTCTTCGATGAGTAACTGTCTTCACCTTCAACCTGCTGTACCCTATTATTCACAGCTTCCCTCTAGAACTCCAGGTTAACTGCCAGTCACTAGTGTGCATCAGATTAATTTTCAAGTATTGGTTTTTGTAGGGATTTTGTTCGATTGGATGGAAGATTTCATCATGAGCTAATATCAGTTAGATGCACCAGGATAATACTGTGGTGAGAGCTGTCTGCTAGCCAAAATTGGTAGACAGCAATTTACTTCAATGTTTACGTCCCATATCTTGGTCATCAGAAAGGAACAAGAACAAAGTTTAACCTTGAGGAACTCAACAAACAATCACAGCAGACTTAGTGTGGGCGGATACGGTTCTCAGGTATATCACCGGACTGTCTAATAAACGGCCACAAAGAGATGACAGAATAACATTCAGCAGGAAAACAACCAATCAGAAGACGCTACCACTCTGCTAATAATAACGAATAATAATGTACATAAAAATTTACAAATATCTGTTGATTTTCTCAATAAACGATTTGTTGCCTGACCCTTATCTTCTGTCGTTACATGTCTAACTAACTGACTGTAAACTCATGATAAAATCGGAGTGACTAGACAAACCCTGCAAACGAACACTTGATAGTCGGGACTAAATTAATCCGAGTCCCCACAAATTTTAGAAAATTTACATCAATCTCCAGTTGACTGATAGCCACTGAATCGATGTTCCGAAACTGTAATGAGTAGTCGTAACCAGTGAGGTACCTCATATCAAGGTAAAGCGGATGTTCATCGAAGGTATTCGTGAATGTAGTACTATATCACAAGTTATTGAATTCATGCCGAAGTAGATGAATAGTCAATGAGCTTGATTTCACAACTATAAACTCCCAGGTAAGATCTCTCATATGGTCTTGGATGGGCACCAGTGAAGACTTCCGAAATAGAACGAATGAGCTCTCCAGTGATCCCCAGTTTTCACTACGATATTTAACAACTGGAATTCAAGTAATTTATCGCCTTATTCAGCATCATAAAAGAAATATATAATATAATGGAGAAGATTTGTAGCTCAGGTGGATGATTTCGATGTGGTTGTGTTCTCTGAGCTGGATACTTAATATGCAAAGCTTTCACCACCTTACTAGGTGACATCTTCAGCGCATACTTCAATTTGAAGTGAGCTTGTAGATTCCGCCACGAGTTTATTAACCATCTCTCCCGGTGACCTTGGACGTGATTCGTTGTTCTTGTGTGTATCCAAAACACCTTGTAGGTTACTTGTGGTATTGGAACTGATCGCTTCTTTGACTTGAACTTTGACCCATTGTGTGTGAGATTTCCTTCTAATCGGTTGATAAATTTTGTCTATCTCGATGTGTCTATTGATTGACGACTCACTGGAATACCAGGCAGTCTTCTAAAAATTCTCTAGCGTTCTTGTCGCTTCCTCTGTCTAATATTTGACAAAATTTATCAACCGATAAGAAAGAAACCTCACACACAATGGGTCAAAGTTCAAGTCAAAGAAACGATCAGTTCCAATACCACAAGTAACCTACAAGGTGGTTTGGATACACACAAGAACAACGAATCACGTCCAAGGTCACCAGGAGAGATGATTAATAAACTCGTGGAGAAATCTAAAAGCTCACTTCAAATTGAATTATGCGCTGAAGATGTCACCTAGTAGGGTGATAAAAGCTTCGGAAATTAACTATCCAGCTCAGAGAACACAACCACATAGAAAAAAATATCTATAATGTTAACAAAAAAAGAACATCACTTACAAAGCTTCTACTTCTAATCCTAATACATCACAAAATTTAGACAGGGTGATCACTCCTGTCTGTTGAGGATCGAATAATTCTTGCCATCTCTGAAAATCACAACAACAACAGAAATAATAAAGCATATTATGTAGGTTAATATTATTATATATTCAATGTACGTAGGAAATATATATCAAATCATTACGAACAGTTAATTTACGAAGAGGCTTAACTCTAAAACTATGCAGACAAAACTTTACAAATAAAAATTCAAATATATAAATCAATCACTGTGTTTTGTCTATAAGATAAGATCAGTCATAATAGCAGTAATAATAATAATAATGGTTTTATCAATAAGAAGGATGAAAAAGTGGAGTGATCTGTGATAACAAGAATTCTGATGAAAAACAGCATGATTAAACAAACAAATGTTCAGGTAGACATAGTATAAGTCGATAAAGGCTAGTAAAAACAAATGAGCTGATTAAGTAATGCTAGATTGATTGTAAGGGAAGTAAATGAAATACATTTTTAATGAAGATGTGATAAGATTAAGGGATGATAAGAGAGAGAGTTGGAAATATAAGTAAGGAGTGGTGGTGGAGACGTCATCAGTTGGTTATGTCTTAAAAGGCCAACAATGGAGAGATAATGGCTGTACGAACTTCTTTTGAATGAATACATGGTTTAGGTTTAATAGTTCAAATGCCTGTCGCCTCAGCTGTGTGCAGTAGACGAATACGAAGTCCATTGGAAAGATTCTATGGGATGCGAGGAATTACCTTGAAAGCTGTCGTTTTCTCCACTAAATGACCACTATCAACTAAATGTGACAGAATGGAGCTACAGATCGTTTTTGTCCGTCCTTTGCCAAACCACACCATGATGGGAGATGTTCAGTAACAACACGTTGTCTAAGCTACCGTCTAACAGTACGCCCAACATAACTGTCACCCCAGGTGCAACTGACCTGATAAATTCACACCAATGTGGCAAAACTATCTAGCTGTCTATCCTTCGTTTGCGTCCCAATCATTCGTTGGCTAAAGAACGACGAACATAGGCTGCTAAGTCTATGTCAATTTATCAACCTAACTGCATAATTATTATTATTATTCAGGACTTCTAATTCCTGTGTTTTAATTCACAGCTCTTCAGTTGTACCTACTCATCGCCTCTGTAACGAACTACGAGTCCAAACATTTGACCACTGGGTTCCTGAGTCTGAATTCAACGAACTATGAAATATTATTGTTGTATTATTTTCAAGAATTAGTTTCTAAGGGTTCTATTTGTTTCTGGTTAAACTACGGATTGATGTCAGTTAGAGAAACATTGAAAACCAGCATGAGGTACTGGACAGATGTTTCATCAGCATAGTTTGGGAATCATCGCAGTACGCATCCGCTGGGTTTCAAACCAAGGACCAGTGTTAGAATGCTTGCTAGTAACACATAATATTCGGGTCCAGCATCTTGCCGATACTATCCAAAGCCACGTCTAGCTGTGGTAGTAAGTTCAGAGAAAGGGAGAAGATAGGTAGTGAGGCTTGCCACCTATCGCCACTACTGAAACTCCAAAACTCGTAGCTTGAATCTGTCTTTCCACATAATCTTTAATACTCACGATATTGGTAACGAATAAATTTTAGGGTGACTATATTGTCGTAATAAGGGGTGGGAAAGGGAGTGGAAATCTGTGATATCGCTGGATTCTAACCAGTGGTAGACAACGAGATCTGGTCATTTGTTGGATCTCAAAGCTATGTCAACTAGTAGAACACCATCGGCCAGTGTAAAGTTGAAGGCTACTGTTTTTAACACTGAACGCATTACAGGTTCTCATTCCACCTCCAGTCATTCTCACCATCATCATCATCATCAATCATTTCTACAATCATTAACAGTTTATCGACTCAAAACCATTTTGTGCAGTCCAACCGCTGATTATTTTAAACAAAGATATCAAATATACTGCTTCAGAATAATATGGATCTATTTTAATTTCGTCGGTTCTTGTCTATTGCGTACAACCTGTATTATCGCTGTTGAAAAGACATAGTGAAACAAAATGTAAGGATGAAACAGTCCCAGTGGCTTAGTGGTCTACGAGCTTGGTCGCCTTGTAACCAGAAGGTCTTGGGTTAGAGCTCTGGCAGATGAGTCCCAAACTAGAATGAAACAGCTGTCTAGTACTCCCTGTTAGTTTTCAGTGTTTCTCTAACTGATATCAATCCGTGATCTAAACTGAAACAAATATTATATTATTATTCCGAGTGGGACATAAAGCTTCAGCAGCACATCTCCACATCATCCCCACATCCCCAGTCTTTTTTGGCTTGCTCCACACTCTTACAGGCAATGTACACCAAGAGAAGAGGGAAGACAACTGAAAATAGTAATGGACAACATCCCAAATAACTTTGAAATTTCTGTAGCGAGTGATTATTTTCTAATTTAGGGGGTCAATAGGCTAATCTTCCCTATCTTTCCGGACATTCGATAGAGTAGTAAAACTCGTGAACTAGTAATTTAGGCGAGGTTACCCATAAAATATTTATTATTATTATTCCTTTGCGTTCCGAGTGGAACATAGGGCTTCAATATCATCGATGATATTCTCCTGTTTGTCGTAGACTGCATCATGCAACAGACCGCCTTAAGGAAGAGAGAGTGAAGACACGCATACGTTGGACAGACGATAAGACACTGAAAAAACAGTATGAACTTCGTGGGTGATTTATTTATATCTTACGTCATAGAAAAAACTCGACGATATGTGTATGTGAAGATCAATAAGTTAGCAGAAAAGACAGCAAAGAAAAGACTTCACATCCGTCTCCAGCAACCACAAACGTTAATTACCATTTATGGGATAAATCGTAAGGCAGTCGCCGTTACCACTTATCTAGACAAATCTTTCAGCTACAACGTACGGATGAAGACATCAATGCTAGTTAAGATGAACGAAATATCCCCCATATTGAGTCATAAGAAAAAGGCGTAAACAGTGGAGGAAATTCTCCCTTTCGACGATTCATTTTCATGAACTGCTGTACAATCAATCGTAATTATATTTAACACAGAAATCTTTAGACAAATCAGATACTGGTAAAACTTGTCCTCGAAAAGTGTATTATGTAATGTGTAAGGTGTAACCTAGACGGGATGACTAGCTGTAAGTTAGAAAAGAAATAGAAGTTGACATGACGTAATAAGTGTGAGATAATGACTAATCAATAAGCTCATGTTGAATGGACAAGAACTAATGTTAAGGCGATTAAGTGTTTTTACATTAATATAAGAATAAAACTTGTGCACTGTGGTAGAGTGTAATTCCATTATGGGTAAATTTTATTTTGATAAAGTCTCACAGTGTTATACAGTATTACTGATGACAGTTCGAGCACATATGCTCATAATCATATCAAGGTAATCATACGACTTCCTAAATTCATTTATATAGTTCCATCGTTTTTCACTTGATTTGATTGGTAGTAATATTTTCCATATTTCGGGTATGAGTGATGAATCATTCCTATTGCATGTGTTGGGTGTAGATTCTATGAACAAGGATTCAGTAATCCATGAAAATTCCATTCGAGCATTAATAGACGGAAGACAAGTAGTTCAGCGAAGAGTCTCTTTTCGGCGAATTCATTTTCATAGCTGTACTATCGCAAATATATATTTGGTTGTTTTGTATGTGTGTGTACATTAAATTTGTTAAACGAAAATACAATTAGTAAGTTCAGATGAATTGGATGTTGATATAAGAGCGTAGTAACAAAAGTGATGAGTTGTCACAAACGATTGTTAAAGAAGAGTTGCGTAATAACGTGAATAGTTTAACGAAAGAGTTGGACTCAGTAATTCAGTAATCAACCTCTCTCTTCACCTACCTAGATTACTTTTTAGAATTTTAACCCTCTCCCACCCTAGTGTGTGGTTGTGTGTTAATGCATGCATTGCAATTGCTGAGCTTTTTTCTAAATTACTTAGCTTCGTGGGGTCAACCATTCTTACCTTAGCTAAATTATTTTCTGACAGGCAATCTCACTACCCCTGACCTATTAGTTTGACCTATGTAGTTGACCTCACAGTCATTGTAGGGTATTTTGTAAATTATATTATTTTGTCTAATTGTTTTTTGTTTTGTTTTTATATTAAATCTGTATGAAAACGCAATGTTATTAATAAACAGTAATAGAGTGATAATAAAATATGGATGATGGGAATAATAATGACAATAAAATAATAGTAATAATAATAATAGTAATCTTACATAATAAAAGGGACAAGCAAGATTATAGTGAGAACTTTACTCTGGCCACGGTAGGGCGAGTGAATGTATGTAGTGCTTTTGAATGCAGAGGTCCAGTTTCAAATCCCGAATATTCTGGACGTATTCTAGAACACTGTCCAGCTTGGTTAGCCAGCTAGAGGGGAAAAGAAGAATAGCAGCAGCTCCATCCTCGAACACCTTGTCATCTCCGGACATCGAGAACCCCTGCATGAATGCTTCACAGTGCTACGCAGAGTCCCTCAATATCGTACAAAGGGACTTCGCATACGCCATCTGTACATAGCTCAAGCATTGGCTACCGAACTTCTGCATTCAAAAGCACTACATACATTCACTCGCCCTACCGTGGCCAGAGTACAGTTCTTACTATAATTTTGCTTCTTTCTTTTTTATTATGTAAGTTCACTATTATTATTATTATTATTGTTATTTTATTAAACTCTTTTATTATCATTATTATTCCCATCATCCATATTTTATTACCACTCTATTACTGTTTATTAATAACATTGCTTCTTCATACAGATTTGATATAAAAACACTTTATCGCCTTCCCACTAGTTCCTGTCCATTTTACACGAGCTTATTGATTAGTCATTATCTCACACTTATTACGTCATGCCAACTTCTGTCTCCTTTCTAACTCACAATTAGTCATCCCGTCTAAGTTACACCTTACACATTACATAATACATTTTTCGAGGACAAAGTTTACCATTAGTCTAAAGATTTCTTTGTTAAATATAATTATGATTATTGTACTGGAGCTCATGAAAATGAATCGTCGAAAATAAAATGT